ATGTTTCTAGCTCGCCCTCTCGAATATTTCGAGACTGGCTATTGCTCCTTTATGCTTTCCGCCCGCCCTCTCAATCTCTTTGAGACTGGCTCTTGCTTTTGTGTTGCGTACTTTCTCGCCCCGTTTGTCACTGCTCGGTCGGTTGTCGAAAATGTTCGCTCCCCTTTACCTTTTTTTCAATGCGACCTAGGTTCGTCATTAGTTGCGGTTACACCCCAATTTGGTGCATCGTTTAACTCCCCCCCCTATGGTTTGCTTCGCATATATTTTTGGTCCAACGTTCCGCCAGTGCTTCTATTGCATGCCACGGCCAATGTGCTCCATCTTGGTACTTTCTTAAGCATTTTTCTTCATGCAATTGGTCTTGACGTACAAGTAGGATTGTTTTCCTCGCCCCACCCCGATCGCAAGCACGTTGTATCGTGACATACATGCGAACGTTGTTTTTGGCTTTGGTTCCTGTCCTGTTCTTTGGCCGTTGTTTACGTTCCCGGAAACCCCCTCTTTCCCTGCTTTTCTCGATTTTGGTCGACCCCTACGTAACGGTTTTCCATGTCGTTTGATCCTTTGCAGGCTCGGTTTTCGTTTCTTATTCTTTATGTTTACATTTCAGCACTCGATCGCATCGTAGCCCCCCTTCCCGTAAGGTTCTGGCTTACTTGATTGCGTATTCGATCGGTTCATTCGTACGAGATCGTTTGTGATTTTCTCTTCACGATTTCGTTACTTCGTGTTATGGTCTTTTCGGTTCGGATGTATTGGTTATTTTTCGCACACATGTGCCTTTTCCCGATTTTATCCACCGACTTTGCCGCCCCGGCTTCTGTGTTTTCTTCTTTCTTGGTTCCGCTTCTTTGGTTTGGTTAACGGAGAGGTGCGGGTGAGGGTTTTGAGTTGTCGTATCTTCGATCCATCCCGCAATCCTCTTGATTGACTAGAGTCCCTCCGAGGTTTGCTTCTGTATCTGCATCTACGTCCACTCAGGGTGGGCTATTGTTATGGTATTTGGAGGTAGACATGTGATCGTGGTTGATCATGGTTATTTGGCGCCGTCGGATGCTATGACGTGACGTCATGCTAGATCAGGGCTTTATGCCGAGACATGTGCCCTTCTGTTCAGTGTGTGCGTACAGGCGATCTATGATCGTGTGTGCGTGGGATATTGTGAGTTGGTTTGGAAAGCGTTAATCAAGAGAAAGAGAACAACGGAAAGCAACAACAACCTGCTACTGTGGTCGGACAAGAGAGTTCCACACAGCTCAAAGGTGATTGATTCTGAAGGAAGGGGTCAAATACCATTACAACTCCCGATGAGCGCATAGGAACCGGGGGACCCTGAAAAACAAACATGAAAAATAAAAAAAGAAAGACGCGAGAACAAAACAAGAGCCAGACGCGACAGACTTCAGGGAGGAGGCAAAAGAGAGCATGGAAAAACCACCACCGTCGTCGCCGCTCGCTCTGGACCGGTGGAAGCTCTCACTCACGTAGAACTGCATATATATGCAGCAAACAATAGGTATAGGGCCCCAGTCCATTGCTTGACAGAAAGAGGCAGCACCCATCGCTTCACATGCAGCAGCCGGATACACGGGTAGTCTCTTACTCAGCAAGAAGCAACGACTGCGGTTGGCGTCCGATCTTGTTGGGACGATGGGACCCCATCGGCGACAGGCGAGAGATAGAGAGAGGTAGATTAAAAGAAGAGGGCGGAGAGAAGACAAGACGTTCGTTAACTATCTACATATGGAGAAGACACTCACTCTCGTCCCTCTGGCCCACCGCAGGCTGTCAGACATGATGTTTGTGTATCGAACGGCGATATCCGATGTGGGCTCAGCAACAACAAACAACACAACAAACAAATACATGCATAGTCGATATTGTATATACGGGTTGGAGTAAACGTGTTCTGTGAGCGCTGATTTGAAGTGAAGACAAAAAAAAAACAAAACATACTGTAGTCTAGTCGCCGTTTGCGAACGGTGGACTTTCTATCTTTTGCGGAAGGAAGTGAGAACTAAAACATGACTATGTAGTCTATTACCTCAACACGCTTGCTTGCCGTCCGCGATAGACGCGCACCGCTGCACGAACGAGCAGACAAACTACTGTTGGTTATTGTGCTGCCATCTACAGTAGTACTTTCTCGCTCAAATTACGACTGACGGTGCAGAAGACTCAAGGTAAGGAAGCAACACGCTTACCGATGCATACCACCCATGCATGCAGCAAAAAACAAACAAACTAAGGCAGACCGTTTGTTGTTGTTTGGCTCTTCAACTGTGCTGCCGTTGCTCTTCACGGATAACAACACTGGGAAAAAAGTGAGAGACGCGCATCGCTTACGAGAGCAACGCGTGCAGCCCAAAACGACAGAAGAGACGACAACCTTACGACCTTTACCTTTCTTTGCAGCACGTTCCGATCATATTCTGCAGCAACGCAACCGCACGTGCACAGCAGCATCATGATGTATGTATGTGTAACAGTCACTCAGGAAGAAAATCACAAACAAACGAAGGCAAAAAAAATAAAGGTTGTGTGTGGGCCGCAGCACGCAGCTCTTTCGCTGTTCAACCGCGGCCGTTTCCATGGCGAAACAGACAAGGTACTACAGTGAAGGCCGACTCTTGCCGGGAAAAAGAAGGCGGAAGCTGCTCAAACTCGGGGATGGGTCAATGATTTGCGATTCCCCACCCAACGGATATCGATCTTCAGATTTGCGAAACTTGCGGGGCCCAGTCATAGACGTGGATGGCAAGAAAACACCCCCTCCCAACAAAAAATTAAACTGAAATGATGGGTGGGTGGGTGACCGGCGGACCCCAAAAAGCAAAGCATGAAAAATAAAAATAGAACGAAGGGAGAACAAAGACAAGTGAGCCAGACGCGACAGGCTTCAGGGAGGTGGCAAAATAGAGCATAGAAAAACCACCGTTGCCGCTCTGAACCGCTGTGGAAGCTGTCACATAGCACTGCATGCAGCAAACAATATAGGGGCCATGCCCATTGCTTCACGTAAAGAGGCAGCGCCCATCGCCTCACATGCAGCAGCAGCCGGGTACGTACACGGGTAGCCTCTTACTCAGCAAGAAGCGAAACGATTGCGATTGACGTTCGATGTTGTTGGGACCCCAACGGTGAAAGGCGAGAGAGAGACAGGTACATACTGTAGACCAAAAGAAGAGAGCGTCGAGAAGGCACTAACTCTCGAGATTAACCCTCGTCCCTGTGGCCCACCGCAGGCTGTCAAACATATGTTGTAACGAACGGCGACATCCGATGTGCGCTCAGCAACAACAAACACAACAAACAAAATAATATAGTCTAGTCGCCGTTTCCGAACTGTGGAGACTTGAGACTTTCTTTCATTTTTTGGTATTATGCATATGAAGAACATGATGATAACTAGAAGCACCACGGACGAACTATTATCTCAATACGTTTGCCATCGCGATTGATGCGCACCGCTACACGAACGACTACTACTGTAGTTGTTGTCAACCCTCACTACGCAAATAAGATTGTGCTGCCATCTATGATACCTTTTCATCGCTCAAGGTAAGGCAGCAACACGCTTGCGATGCTTTACCACCCATGCATGCATATGCAGCAGAAACAAAAATACAAAAACAAAGGCGGACCGTCTGTTGTCCGTATCTTCAACCGTGCTGCCGTTGCTTTTCTTCGTGGATATCGACACAGAGAAAAAAATAAAGGGATGCGCATCTCCTACGCGAGCACATTGTGCAGACCAAGCGACAGAGACGACAACCATACGACCTTTGCAGCATATTCCGAGCATAACAGCAGCAACCGCATGCGTACAACGAACGATCGCTCAGGAAGTAAATCACGAACAAACGAAAAAAAAGGGGTTGTGGCGCACAGCATGCAGGACCCTCTTTTGCTGTTCAATCGGCCGTTCCAATGAATGGCGAAACAGACAAGTTTTTTTTTTTTTTGTCTTCACTTCAAATCAGCACTAGTGCCGTTTACTCCAACCCGTGGTCACACAGAAGAGCCCCTCTCTATCTCCCCTCATGCGGTACTTTGTCTTCGATTTTTAATGCGAGAAGAGTTCAGCACTCTCTTCCCTCTGTGTACACGCTATCCACTAGGCCAGGAGCGGAAGCGAGAGAAAAACTCACTTTGCAAGAAAAGCTCGCTTACGCCGGGATTCGAACCCCTGACCTGACCTCTAGAAGGTTTCGAGGCTACCAACTAGACCACCGGGGCGACCGGCTGGAATAGTCAAGGCCCAGTCGTGTCGGCCACAGGAGATAAAAGCTGCTCAAACTCGGGGAGGAATCATGGTTTGTGATTCCCTACCGAACCATACTTGAAGCGCCACGAGATTTGCACTGTAGCCCGAGGACAGCATTTGAGACCGGGTGGGGCCAGGGGTGGGGGATGCGATTGAAAGTTCCACCCACGGATATCGAACGATGAGACTGAAGCTAAGGCTTCAGACTTGTTCAAGAAGACAAACATATCAGCGATGGCAAGTAGGTCCTGTGCGACTCTGACGGTGTGCGACGCGCCTCGACATGTAACGTACCCGGTGCATTCATGTCTACATCGCCAACTGCACGTGCTGTCGTCTTACGCTTCGGACCAAGGTCGCCCACACGACGCTTCTGCAAGTAGTCGGGGTGCAACACCACGAGCGGAATATGCCATCTTTGCGTTATCTCCGTAAGTTCAAGGAGGGATGAGGCGGCAAACTATTCGCGATGAGCCGAAAGCATCATTCGTGACGCGTTTGGTGGTGCAGGCCTACGCGTTCATCATTTCATGAACGGCAGGGCACAGCCAATGGACCACAATGTCTAATATAGATTGCAGTCAAATCCTCCAAATAAATGTGGTGGCGCACCTGCAGCAGGTGTGTGTCGAAACGAAAGCACCGTCACGCCAGGATACACCAAACTCACAAGGAGGACAGTCTTCGCAACCACAGCAGTGCAAGTTTGTTCGGGCGTTGGGTTCAAAGCCTTGTTTTTCATTCACAGACCCCATTCAGTTCAAAGAGGCGCGAAGCGATCGACGCAGCACGCCTCTCGAGTGTACGCATCATGGGAAAACCTGATCATACGACTCGACAAAAACAACAGGAGGGCAAGACGGGCAACAGCAACAACCGGCCAAGACCAGGTGCAGCCGACACGGAACGCCAACAAAGGAATCCCCTTCCTCAAACCCCCTCCCCTGAGAACAGTAACCGCATGCCTCACGAGGGTGTGTGACAAGAACCACCTTCCGACACACTGTTTCTATTGAGCCCAAAGAAAACAGAGCGCGGCCGGCATCATAGCATCATTCGGCTACCAGCTAAGGAGGAAGAGGCGGTCCCCTCCTCCCATCCCAGCTCACGATTAAAACGTAAATCACAACACGACACCGCTATTCACAGAGCGTCCCCAGCAACAAAACCGGTGCAAAATGGCTGAAGAACGCACGGACTAGAAGCCTAGTTGAAGGTGTATCCCGCGCCGAGGAGGTCGTTGATCACGTACGGCTTGTTGTTCAGCTCCTCGTGCACCATCAGAGCCAGGATGCCCATCTGTGCCGCGCGCCCGTTGTTCAGCTCGATCGCGCGCTTCGACGCCTGGGTCTCCTCCGACATCGCGTCCCACGAGGACCCGAACGGGTTGCCGCCCAGGGTGAAGTCTCCGGGGAACGAGCCCTCCACGTTCTTCATCACAGCCAGCTCAAGGAATCCGATGAACGCGAAGATCTGGGCGAGGCCCGCCGGGGGGATCTTCGACAGGGCGGCCACGCCGTTCGGCATGTCCGCGAACG